TTCCAGGCATAGTGCAAAAAAAAAAATTCTTTGCTTGGAAGATAGGCCTATAAATTTCACTTAAAAAAAAAATTTCCAGCCATCAAATGAGAAAAAAAAATTCTTCTACAGGTGTACAAAAGAAATATATATTGCCTCTTAGAAAACTCTATATCATCACTTTTCTAAATTTCTAATGGTCCGCCCCTTAGATTGTTGATTCTACATAATCGTTCTTATTATTTTCAGCAACAGCTGAAGCACTTCCTTCCTTTCCTCTTTCGTAATTCAATATGACATTTAGTTCTCTAAAACATTATATAATCATGAATCTCAAGGATTCAAGCGATTTTGTTAGTCGAGTGGTGCAGCTATTAGAAAATACACTTATGGAATTACGTTAGCAAACCCTGCTTTGTCTTTGGTTGAACTAACATTTTGAGGCAAGTACTAGAGTGTGTGTAATGGATGAATTTTGTCCACAAATCCCTTACTATTTGAAGACCCATAATTGATCCGGTACTCCAAAAAGGATTTATCGAACCCGGAGAATGGTCTCAGGCAAATTATTAGACTGTCCTTTTCAACGACATCAATTATATTTCGCGCGGCGGGCTTGCGGCAAGTCTAGCAAATCGCAGATACGCGCTAATTCTATCTGGATTAATTTAAAGTCTAACACTACCGAAAATATGCTGGTTTTGTATTTTCTTATCCATTGCAAAATTGTAAAAACAATAAGGCCAATTAGTAATTGAATAACAAAAGAAATAAAATAAGTGAAGACTTTTGATCAACTCTTTCTACTTTTTCCAGACAACGCGGTTCGCATAGATGTTTCATCGTGTTGTTTGGCAAAATTTGAATAAAGAATCTGCATGGCCAAAAGGGAGAGGGTATGCACCTGCATATTTAATCATAATAAGAATATTTTTTGGTAAGAGCATTTAAGTACGTTGGCCATATGAAACGTACCAAACAGAACTTGTATTTAATACCTGCCCCCTGAGCCACCCAAATAATGCATAATAAACTGACTGCTTTCTGTCGTGTAGTATACCGCCAACAGATTACCAAGGGAATATTGAGAACCTGTTGAACCAGTGTTCTGACAAGCCTAAAGGTACA